TATATATATAAAACTCAAAGGTGACTGACTGACATAGTGATCTACAACGCACAGCCCAAACCACTGGACGGATCGAGCTGAAATTTGGCATGCAGGTAGATGTTATGACGTAGGCATCCGCTAAGAAAGGATTTTGATCAATTCTACCCCCAAGGGGATAAAATATGGAATGAAAGTTTGTATGAAACTTTGTCAATTTTAAACCAATCGGGCTGAGACTTTGCATGTAGGTATAAGAAGAATCGTAGATGAATGTCATTGTGTATATTAACACATACACTTCAGCTCTACACCGAAGCGAAGCGAGGGCGGGCCGCTAGTCTGATATAAGTAAGTATAGTATATAGTAGTAAGGTCGTGTATTTTGCAAGGTCTTTGAAAAAAAAACCCACTCCTCCCATCTTCGATCAACTGCTGATCAGTCCCTCCAATTCGAGCAACATAATTCTTATAATTGCCATTCATTAAACATTTTAATCTTCCATTTTCGATTGTAATCTTCCGAGGCAAAATTAATAAATGAATAAATGGGCGTACAGACAATAAAACTTCTGAATAATTAATGCAGCAATAATGTAGAAATAGTTCTTTTAACCTTTTATTAATAACTGAATTACGAAATAAAGTTTAACTTAAAGTATAATATTAAATACATTATAGTCTCTCTAAGTCCTGTTTGCAATCAGAGCGACAATAGGTTTGTTGAAATAAAATGAAAAATGGTGTAGGGAGCCTAAACATGATTTTCGATTATCAAGACTATAATACCCCACTCGACATATTTCGTCAACTTATTTTTTTTACTTCATCACAATATGGCGCCTAATTATCCCCATTTTGAATTTTGACTACTATCATATCTTTAGTAGCACTTCCATGATTAAGACGAATCGATTGATGTATGAATCATCAAAAGCGGTCCATGCGTTTGGTTTCTAGTGTGCCACAAAGGAACAAACATACTTATATACTGTTAAACACTATACCCTGTCTGCGCGTCGCGCTTCGCACTCTTGCATTGCGCAGTCGGGTAAAAACAAACAAAACAATACGAATAGGTACTGAAGTATCTAATGATTTGTTAACGGCGAAGATATTTTGTTAAAATTTTAAAGTGCAATAAGTTTTACATCGTAAATATTCCACGCTGCCTTCGATTCCATAAAGCACCTATTACTGATTTTGATGTTGTTGACATACAATCTATTATAATATTACTACCTTGATCTAGTCATGAGAAACTATAAGCTTCATCGAGGGAAATAAACAGGTTTATGCAAGACTTCGCAAACTGACCCATTTCCCCCAATTTTTTTTTTCGCCAGCGCTCTGTGTGTTAAGTCAATGCAAGTGCAGTTTAGTCGAGAACACAGGTGAAGCTGCAAAAACGTGTTCATCCTCCCTCACCTTGGCGACCTGAATCAAATCCCTGACGCCGCCGCGCCGTGGAGTACCGCGATGCTATTCTGTAATAACAAACTTATTTTTCACTGCGGTATCCGCCGGAGTGATTTGAAATTCGTGTCCGAATATGAAATCACAGCACGGATACCGAGGCGAAAAGTTCTTACAAAATAGCACTGTTGGACCCTTACTTACGGATACACAACACATCCATTTTAACTTGCCCACTATCTGTTACCAGCAGTTGCATAATTATGCATTATTTTTTATATAAAATATAAAAAAATAACACTCTATCGTAATGTAGAGACACAATTGCCTTTTCGAGTCACAAAATCGCTCCTATAACATTCAAAAGTTACAAAAAATCGTTTGTTCTGCAAAATTTAATATTATATTATTCCATTTCTACCATAGGTTGCCTGGAAGAGATTGCTGTTTAGCAATAAGGCCGCCTATTGTACTCTTTCTTCTGTTTTTTTTTATCTTGTGTCCTTTGTTGTGTGCAATAAAGAATATTTATTATTATTGTTATTATTATTTAAATAGAAAATTTGCTATATTGCCTCGTTGAAAAATAAGTAGACTTGACTTATTATATAAGTAGTTTAGATCCGTCTTTCCCAGTGGGCACTTTGGGTAAGTGCCCAGGGCCCCGCGATCAATAGGACCCTCCCTCAGATCAAATACAAAGTCCCTAGTTCGTAGGGGCCCCATTACCCTAATATGCCCAGGGCCTCCAATAGGTCAAAGACGGCACTGTTTAGATTGATTTCTTTTAAACACTAGAATCGATATTTCACCCACCCCGCTGTTCGCTGCATCGAAGTGCCAACGGAGCAAACACAAAAGCGGCGAAAGACACCACCGGAATAATTAAAAAGTTCCCAGAACAACCGGGTGTAACGGCAATAATGACATTAACGACACGCGCTCGACAGCGACTGACAAATGACAGCGGTCGTTTGTCAGCTGTCAGCCATCAAGACAATGGTGTCAGGCGGCGCGGCCGATTGACGGGTGTCGCCAAAGCTGCTACTCTTGTTGTCAAAAACGTCGAAAGCGCGATTTTCAGAAACGCTTTTTTTTTTTTGATGCAAGTATGAGCGTACCATATTCTACCCTTTTTGTATTAATCTAAGCATGAACACGGTGTAACTGAAGTAATTGCGGGTAGATGTTATTGGCAGACATATCGGTCTACCCTCTGACGTCGTCTTTTACTGCGCTCGATGTTATATCATCCCGTTAATATCTTTAATGTTTATCATTACTTAATACAGTAATTTCGGTAATGCCACGACATTCAGGATTGCCCAGTCAGTAATTCTTTTGAATAGTTCAATGTGTTTTAGCTGTTTAAGCTGTGGACAGGAAGAAAACTGAAAGTAACAAAATTTTTATAACCCGCATCGTTATTTAGGTTAAGTTATCACTTCTGTTGCTATCATGTTACACTGTCGATATCATGTTCCATATTAATTATGAATGAATGAGAAAAAAACATAAACAAAGAGGAGCTTGATGGCGCAAGTGGTTAGCGCGTTCGGCTGCGGTCGTTGAAATTAAGCAACTTTCGCAGTGGTCTGTCATTGGATGGATGACCGAAAATTTACTATCTCGCGCTCCTCCGTGCTTCGGAAGGCACGTTAATCCGTTGATCCCGGCTGCATCTGCAGTCGTTAGCACCCACCAATCCGCACTGGGTGTATCTTTCAGCTTTGATAGGTAGAAGCTGGAACGAAGATGCAGATAAAGTCGGAGACATCACCACAGGTGCTGTGTTTCACTCAGTGTGCCACAGTTCCATCCAAGATTTTCATTCGTTAAAAATATTTTCATTCATTCATTTAATCTTTTCAAAAGTAGAATGAATGATGAGAGCTAAGTTTCATGATATGCAAACAAACATTTTGATCTGAAAAATCTCCCATGCTTTCAGTTTCAACGTACACATTGAAAAATTAGTAGAAACAAAGATGAAAAGAAAACTTATATCATTGATATCGAACACTCATACTATAACGCCCGAATTTATTGGGAGTCGATAAACAATTGCAATGTAGGTCGCGGCCGTGACGTCATACACCGCCTTTGATCGCCTCTCGCGTTTATTTAAAGGGGCCCATATACGGAACGATTGATCTGTACGATCCGTCGTTTCAGACCGATCGAAACGATGGATCGACAGTGTATGTCAAGATCGTTAACGATTTACTTAATCGCAGACGATATCGGAGATCGCAACAAAAAACCATGCAATAATGAATATCGTAAACGATCGATCGTCAGTGTCCCATATACGGTACGATTGATCTGTACGATCCGTCGTTTCAGACCGATCGAAACGATGGATTGACAGTGTATGTCAAGATCGTTAACGATTTACTTAATCGAAGACGATATCGCAAATCGCAACCAAATCCCATGCAATCATGAATATCGTAAACGATCGATCGACAGTGTTTCGTGTATGTAGTGGCATTTCTGAGCGATCGATCGTTCAGAAATGCCACTACATACACGAAACGATTGATCGTAACGATCTATCATTTACTTGTTTCAAACGGTAGGATAAAGACGTACTCAAATAATTCAATACTTGCCCTCTAAAATGGAAAACGAACTCTTGATTGCATGAACGATATTCATGATTGCATGGGATTTGGTTGCGATTTGCGATATCGTCTTCGATTAAGTAAATCGTTAACGATCTTGACATACACTGTCGATCCATCGTATCGATCGGTCTGAAACGACGGATCGTACAGATCAATCGTACCGTATATGGGACACTGACGATCGATCGTTTACGATATTCATTATTGCATGGTTTTTTGTTGCGATCTCCGATATCGTCTGCGATTAAGTAAATCGTTAACGATCTTGACATACACTGTCGATCCATCGTTTCGATCGGTCTGAAACAACGGATCGTACAGATCAATCGTTCCGTATATGGGCCCCTTTAAACTCGCACCGAGTGATAATACTCGAATCACAGAACATTGTTAATTCGAATAGTTAACACCGTGGTACTCGAATGATGTGGTGTGCGATCGCAGGCAGGTGAGCGTCGCATTATTAATGACACCTCCGATCGAGGCGTCACGTCGACGCCGTCCTTCCACTATCGCCTCGTCATCCTGCGCCATCGACGCTCGTCCAAGAAACTTTAATCACACACACGAACAACACAAAAGCCATCAGCTATTCACTTTGGCACGACTCTATTACCACGCCACCCGTTTCCTTTCCGCAGCAAAACAAAGAAACAACAATTTTAAACGAGCGTTAATAAAGTGATGGATCGCTTCGTGTAAATATACAGACAGTTGCAATCGGAACTTAGTTCCGAAGCCACAATGGGTACCGGCGACTTGCATACATTATCGATGATCACGAAACAACTGGTCGGGTACTAAATAATTCGCATCGGAATTGTATTTATTGCCCCAGTTCGCTGACGGGCGGGAGACGTCACGGCCTAATATCTTTGCACCACGCGATTAACGAGTTATTTCCACCCGGCGACGATGTCACCGCCAGCGCCGCGCCATCCGTCTTATCCACAAATTAATGGGTTCCACTTTCAGATGCTGTCACTTCGAGACGACGACGATGACGACAGCCACCTCTGCATCAAATGCAACACCACTATCGTCGGGCTCGATAACTACGTGAAGCACAGAAAACAGAGATGCGGCAAGATATCCAAAACCGAAAACAAACCAGACATAACGAGTATAGACACGTTGGATCCGACTTACAGCCTCGGTGCTGATGTATTTTTCCAGTCTCTCGAATTGCAAAGTAGTGTGAAGAAAACTTCTCTTTCGAGACTCACCCCGCCTATACCGATAACTAAGGCAGGGTTAGAAACGAAAAATACTCTAGTGGAAGCATCCACATCTAGGGATTTGCCCCGTATGAGTCCTTTAGAAACCAATTTACGGGAAGAAGATTGGATAGGAGGACACTCTTTAAAGATAAATGCCAATGAAGACAATCAGACAAAATTTATTAACGCCGTCGCTAGCATCAGTGGATCGGTTAAAAAGGATATACCATCTTCAACTTACAGCATCGCGGCGTTTAACGATTTCAAAGCTGACGAAGACTTTGACGATTCAGAAGACTCGGATGAGGATGATGAAGAAGAGCCACACACCAGTGGTGGAAAATGGAAACCTCCTCCCAACTATACAGGTGGAAAATGGCGTCCTGCTTCCCCTGATCATGAAGATTGGGATATAAGAGAAGAGCAGGAACATACTGGTGGAAAATGGAAACCAATTATGGCCGATTCCAATGAAAGAGAAGACGACTACGATGCTCCACCACCTGGGCATACTAAAGGCAAATGGGTGCCTGGCCACGAAAAAGCACAAATCATGCAAACGACGATACAGACAAAAGGTTCGGTGCAGTACTGGTGTGGTCCTTGCAATCGACGCTTAGGCTCTCGAGCCATTTATGAAAAACACTTAATGTCTAGTTTGCACATGAGAAAGGTTTTACCAGAGCATGAGCTTGAATTCTCTGGACACTTAGAGCCGATGCGTTCAGCCAAAAGACCAAGTCGACCATCTCGATTTACCGACGACAGCATCTACGTTCAATCTCAGAAAAAAATTGAAAAGCCTAAACCTAAGACTGTAATAAAGATTGAGAAAAAGAAGAGGAAAAGAAAACCTATCTTCGTTCACTGCTCCGGTTGCAAATCTCGAGTGAGGCTGCATCTTATGGGTAAACATCTCATATCCCACTACCACTTCCGGAAAGCCACTGACATCAGAAGTGAGGCTTATCAGCAGTTGATTTTGGACAACATAACAGCTATCGTGCATCAGTCTCCTTTTCAATGTAGTCCATGCAAATTTTACACGAACTGGTTATCAAATTTCATGCAGCATTGGTTTTCTGAAGAGCACGAAAATAAAATGACCGCATTGGTTGGCAGACATTGGTGTTCTTTCTGCAAATATGAATGTAATACCTCCCAAGAGATGCTGCAGCATATGTCTGGACCTGACCACAGCGAGGTGGTAGCTGTAATAAATAGATCGATGCCTATAATTATCAGGAAGAAAACTATATTCACATGTGAGACTTGTGGCGAAGAATTTAAATACAACGTAGAAATGAAACGCCACAGTCAAAGAACTGGACATAAGTTGACTTACACAGCTACAGATGATTATCAGGAGCTTCACAAGTGTCAATATTGCAAAGCTAAATTCAAGTCTTCTTTGACTCTGGCAGCTCATCTTAAATCGAAGCACAAACAAAAGTCACATTTCTGTTTAGTATGCTCATTGACTTTTAACACGTCCGAAGAAGCGAAGCATCATAGGTTCACCACGGAACACCGTGTAAGGAAGAAAGAGATTCTCCGAGACAAGGGTGTGCCTGTAAAGGATCTGAGCAGGAAATGCTCTTATTGCACTGACGAAGTCATATTGAAGAATATTTTGGAACTGAAAGCGCACATACGGAAAATGCATCCAGAAATCAAAAAAAGGTTGATAACTTTTGTTTTTCTTAGTTCATTTTACTTTTAGGATTCTGGACCTTCAGCCAGCAAAAACAGAACCCTTATAGGTTCACCCGGTTGTCTGTCTGTCTGTCTATCATAGACGATTTCCTCGGAATTTACTGGGCCGATCAAGTTGAAATTTGGCACATATATGGAATATGCATGTCTGTGACCCCAAAACTGGACCAAAAAGGCAAGTAAATTAATTCAGAATATGGGGTTGACTTTAGGGGGGTTAATTAGAAAAATAAAATTAAGGTAACTGTACCGTCTTATGTATCATATGAGAGGGCTCATTAATTTTTTTCATCATCAGCCTATTAATGTCCCCACTGCTGGGGCACAGGCCTTCCCTATGGATGGAATAGGGAGATTGGGCCATGACCCACCACGCGGGCCCAGTGCGGATTAGTGGGTGCTAACGACTGCAGATGCAACTGGGACCAACAGCGTGCCTTCCGAAGCACGGAGGAGCTCGAGATAGTAAATTTTTGGTCACCCATCCAATGACCGACCACTGCGAAAGTTGCTTAACTTCAACAATCGCAACCGAACGCGCTTACCAATTGCGCCATCGAGCTCCTCTAGTAAAGTCTATTTTTTTCAGAAATGTGAAATAAAAAGTTTATGAAATATTTTAGAAATTCGATGAATATTGACCGGTTCCCCAATCTTACCTACGAAACTACTGCATCAAAATTTTTGAATTTTTTTTAGGTCTAAAAGTCTCTAAATAAATAATATTGGAAGTTTTTTTTTAATAAATATGCTTGTAGATTACAGGAAAACCTTTAAGAAAGTTTGTAGTATAATGAATGGTACGGAACCTTCCGTGCTCGAGTCCTTCTAGCAATTGGGCGGTTTTTGTTTAATCTAAATAATATATTCTATCTTTACACCGTATTTTGGATGGAAAAAGCATGTGAAACCAACAGCTTATGTTTTGTCGTTATATATATTTTAGGCATGCATTATTATTTATGTTTTGATTATTCACAACTACATTTTGATTGAGGAGCTCGATGGCGCAAGTGGTTAGCGCGTTCGGCTGCGATCGTTGAAGTTAAGCAACTTTCGCAGTGGTCGGTCTTTAGATGGGTGACCAAAAATTTACTATCTCGAGCCCCTTCGTGCTTCGGAAGGCACGTTAAGCCGTTGGTCCCGGCTGCATCTGCAGTCGTTAGCACCCATCAATCCGCACTGGGCCCGCGTGGTGGGTCATGGCCCAATCTCCCTATTCCATTCATAGGGAAGGCCTGTGCCCCAGCAGTGGGGACATTTATAGGCTGATGATGATGATGATGACATTTTGATTTATTTTTTATAAGTAGAATGTTATCATTACCTATTTAGCTTACCTTCAGCATAGCTTCCCATTTCAGATGTCCCAAATGCGGTATGTCATTCGTGCTGTTCCAAGAGGTGAGTCGCCACGTCAGAAGCAACGCTTGTCAGTTCGGCGACGCGCACCCTGTCAGCTCCTCCATCGTGTGGAACTGCAGCCGTTGTCTCTTCAGCACCGACTCCCAGGCCGAGTGCTACTTTCACGAAGTCCTCCACACCGACCCTGAGAAGGAATACAAGAAAACGGGCGACAAAGAGATCCTGCTCGAAAAATATCCCTGCCCCGTTTGCGCTAAGAGTTTCAGGAAGAGATCGCTGCGTCAGCATTTGCGACTGCACACCTTCGAACGGCCCTTTGTCTGTTCTACATGCGGGGCTAACTTTACAACCCAGTCGAGCCTTTCGAACCACTACAGGAACAGCCACGGGACACGCATGCTGAAAGCAAACCCGCCTAAGAAACTAGTAGTGCCAGTACAGCCATTGTTAAAAGAAGATTTCAAATGCTCCAGGTGCTTGAAGAATTTCTCCAATAGGTACGTACGCACGGCAAGCATATCTATATATATAACACTCAAAGGTGACTGACTGACATAGTGATCTATCAACGCACAGCTCAAACCACTGGACGCATCGGGCTGAAATTTGGCATGCAAGTAGATGTTATGACGTAGGCATCCGCTAAGAAAGGATTTTGATCAATTCTATCCCCAAGGTGATAAAAAAGGGAATGAAAGTTTGTATGAAACTTTGTCAACTTTAAACCGATCGGGCTGAGACTTTGCATGCAGGTATAAAAAGAATCATAGATGAATGTCATTGTGTATAATACAAGCCTGAGAACAAAAACTGTAGTCTACACTTCAGCTCTACACCGAAGCGAAGCGAGCCGCCCTCGCTCAAGTTCATCTATGATTCTTCTTATACCTGCATGCAAAGTCTCAGCCCGATAGGTTTAAAATTGACAAAGTTTCATACAAACTTTCATTCACTATTTTATCCCCTTGGGGGTAGAATTGATCAAAATCCTTTCTTAGCTCTCTACGTCATAACATCTACCTGCATGCCAAATTTCAGCCCGATCCGTCCAGTGGTTTGGGCTGTGCGTTGATAGATCACTATGTCAGGCAGTCAGTCACCTTTGAGTTTTATATACATAGATAGATTTATCGGTGTTATGGAGACCTAACACATTTGTGGTAAAAGTAGAGTCTTAGCAAATGGCATTTTTTCCCCCATAAAGTCGGATTTTTGTGTAGCACGACTTACAGAGTACATTATAAGATTTCAAGAACTGCCAAGATTACAATGTTGATTTGTCGACAACTCGCCGCAACATAGGTTTAATTAAATAGACTCCTCCTGTCCGCGTAGCATGTCCACCACAGTATACATTATAATTATCGCCTTGTTTTATCGTGTTTAGCTGTTAAACTTCATAGAAATTTGACATTAGAGCGTGATAAAAACGAGCGATAAGCCATATCGCGTTGTCCACGCTAGGGGGCTCGTAAAGCTTGCGGGAGCCAGGTGTGAGGTCCGTTCGGCGGCGTGCCTTTTAAAGGCGCCGTCGTCTGCAAACAAAGGTTTTGCCTGGGTCACAAAAAAAAGGGGGGGGGGCTGACTGCATAGACTCGGTGAAGTCCTTCAACGAGGATCTAGGAAGGAGGAGGAAGAAGCAACATGCAGGCCGGCAGGGTGAGGATGGCTGTTGTGGCAGGTAGAACTGCTGTATCAGCTATCTTCGCGTTTGGACTTCACTTTCACTTAACATCGCTTGCCGAATGCACCACGCAATTACCGGCGTCGCGAGGGTTTGTTAACAGCAAAACCAACGTGGCGTTGGTCATTGTCGTGGATATATTACATTTTTTCTCCCCGTCATCGAAAAAAAAAAGGTGGGTTGGAGTCATTTGTCGGACCTATCTATAAAAAAAATGGGTGCGTGTACTTATGTAGGCGCGTGAGAAGTTATCCTTCTTTGGCATCGTTTAAAATTAGTTTTTAATTGCTTGCAAATAATTAATTACAATAAATTAATAAAGAGTCTGGAAAAGGACACAGTCAATAAAGTTCAGTTTTAATTTGAAAAAATAAATAAATAATCAAAATATTCAATTAAAATCGCTACTGAATATAATTTATTAGAACATATGTGATTTGCACTCAAACACGTATTCCGAATATTCAAACTAGAAACATGTGGATAAATATTATAAATATGAATACCTATAACTGTTACTTTATTACAAAAAATAAAGATGTGGTTTTTGGTTCTACTACACCAATGGTCAAGAGATGGCGCTGTAGTCTCCTGAATCGCGCTTTGGTTCCGTTGTTCCAGATTAATAAATACTTTTGCTAGGCCTTCACAATGCAGTCGTTAGCACCCACTAAATAGAGATTCTATTTCTATTTTGTTGGTAGATTTTCTTAATGTGCGGTAAACACAAAAGTAACAGCTGAAGTTGGTCACTAAAGCGACCAACTTCATGCTCTTAAAATTTTGTGTTACAGTGATGCGCGCGCATCTTAAAATTTCACTCTCATCATTTTTTCATAACGCGCCTAAAGAAGTATAACTTCTAAAAACCGTACTTAACAGCGTAGACGGTATTCGCAGGGTTTTTTAGCGGATAGAATGCCGCAAGCGCTCGTAAGCGCGGACTGCTTAACGGCTTCTCCGTTTCGCACCCATGAGACTTGCGAGAGGCTAGGTGTGAGGTCCATTCGTCGGTGTGCCCCTTAAGGGCGCCAACGTCTGTAAATAGTGTTTTTGTCTGCGTAATAAAAAGAAGAGGGGGGGGGGGGGGGCTGACTGCATAGCAGGATTTAACAGAATCACGAATTTTTACGTTATATAAATTCGCAACGATCGCCTGTAAGTCAGTCAGCAGGCCGCCGCGCCGCACGATTATAGACCCGAAAATAAAATACGCATTTAAGTGGCATTGTTGTATCTAAGATCCCTTCGCACATAAATTCATCGGCGTAATCTTTCCCCTTCAGGAGCGTCCCGCGGCACGCCGGCTAATCCCGATGCGTATTTAAGAACCAACATCGACAAATAAATTGCCGTCGACACAAATAAAACTAGCTATTTAGCGACGTCGAATCAAACACGTCAACCTGCCGCGACGCAAATCCCCGATGCGTGCCGTCACAACACGTGCTAACGATAAAACTGAGGTACTGTACAGTTGTAACGTTTCTATCTCGAAATATCGGGCATCCGGGGACGAATTTATTGCTGTGCGGTGTAAAAATGTCAGCGCCGGGGATGCAATCAAAGAGGCCGGTGTCAAATTATGTTTCCCGATATTTGTGAAGGAGTTGTTTGACGGGTGACACGGCTGCATCCGCTCAACGCATGCCGCCAGCGATGCCGACGTCTCATCGCAAATAATTGTTGTTGACGCGTCCACGCAATCTCTGATGCGTGTGTTATTTTAAATATCATGAATATAATGCATGTACTTGGTACGTACAAATCTCTCGTGCTGTTAGCCATCCTGTTTACACAAAGAAAACTTTCGGAGACTTTTTTTCAGTTCCGGATGACATAGATTCAATCATGCCTGTTTTGCTGAAAATATCTTCGTTAATTGGTTTATGAGTATTATGTAATATATACACGAAATAGTGGATATATATGTAAACTCATAACTCAAATAATATATTTCTTTTTTAGGTTTCCACGCACATCACTCATAAAATAAAACAAGTTTCAACGGGTTGGATGCACTGATATTATTTATTTATTGTCGTTTCGCATTCTTTGCAGGAATGCGTCGTCGGTATAAAACCTCCATTTGATAATATAATACTTACAGAAAAAAAAATCTATACGTCTGTTTTTTGAATAAAGATTATGGAGTCTCAGTTCAGTGCATTGCATTCATTACACACATACATCTGTGGAGCTCCTCATTACCAAGTTGCATTCGATCGCAGCCGCAGTCTGCGCATTTGGAGGCACCCGACGCCTCTCATGATCAAACTTGCGCTATAAGTAACCTTTACAGCACTGCTTTAGCTCCTGAGATGATCATACTTGGGAAGTCGTCCACAGATTCCGTGGTGCGCTAATGTGTTTTATTCTAACCAACAGCATAATGAGCTTTAGAGCTGCTTTGGATACTTTTAAAGTTATAGAAGTTGATTGTGAAAGTTTGATAGCTATGGTTTTCGTATTGCTTTAGAATGAGGCTTTACGAATCCTCTCATCGTCGGCGTAGTTTTGTGGTTTATTCGCGTTCTAGCCGCGTTAATTGTGACTATGCGAATCATATTTTCAATATTCTTAATAAACAATGAACCCTGTAAAAAAACTCAAAACAAGTGTGAGTAGAAAAAATATTGTATGCGTATAAACACACCAAAGGCAACATGAAACCCAACTGAAAAAAATAATCACTCAGCGCCTCTAGCGGGCAGTAGCAGAACTAAAAATAGAATGATAATCCTGTAACGTTTAGTAATATCATGGTGTCGATTCTGACATGATTCTCTAAAACTAAACTTAAATTTGACAGCAGTGTATCCTTGTCATTCTCTATACAGAATGAAAAGGAGAGACTGATGTTAAATTTAGTTTTAAGTTTAGAAAATTTTGCCAGAATCGACACCCATATTTTATTGTTTACGTAGATTTACTCTAGGGGAAAAATCTCTATTGTGAACACTCTAGTTATAACTTTCATAGATAAAAAATAGCATTTCGCTAAGCTTCTAGTCAAATGTGAACAGTAGAACGATTCTCTGCCGTGTTCTAGCGATAGAACTTTAGCAGCATTTAGTAGGAATTTCTTGAGCGCACTATGTCCGGTCTGGCTGGCCGGCCGGCCGACTTATGTAATTACTTGTTGGTGGCTGAAGCGGCTATTTATTGCGCTTAAATATTAGCCAATCCCGTCCGTTGCGTCCTCTGCTACAACAGGAAATATATTAGGCCGTTGGATGCTTCATAAAATTAGTTTTGTGTGCATTAAAGCAAAATTTGTGCATTACAACGCTATTCTTCTAAACAAGTAGATACTAGATTGGTAACTAGGTCTTTTATAAATAAATAAAAAAATAATAATAAAATAAACAATTCCAGCACTCACACCAATTAGCCTAGCCCCAAAGTAAGCTCTGTAATGCTTGTGCTATGGGATTAGGGTAACGGATAGAATACATCTACAGTACATAAGTATATCAATATAGAAATACATATTTATTTAACATCCATGACTGGAGTACAAATGCTCGTATTCATCATACAAACATCTGCCCCCACCGGGATACAAACCCGGGACCTCTCGAGTCGGCGACGCCATGACGCCATGGCGACGTCAAGTACCTTTTCAAAAAATATTACATCTTCCAGGTAGTAGATATAGTTAACGTCCTACTGTTACACAAACCAGTCACTATTGTTTCCGACCATAAATATTGATTTCTGTGTTTCCGACCAACTTGATTCCAAGCCTTACAATATTATTATTCTAAGATCCAAGCTCTGTTTTTAGTGTAACTCAGTAACCGTGAATCCGTATATCTTATACCACTATCTATCAATAAAATTGTTTCTTATGCTGTTTTCCGTTGATGCTTGAATTATAATGTGTTAAATATTATGTCAAGAAATAAAAACATTATACCTAGTCGTTTTACTTTTGCAGAAGTGCGTTAAGCCGTCATAGTTGTGACGGCAGACGTTGCCCGCACCCCAACTGCTCGTTTGTGGCAACCACACCAGCACTGCTCAATAGGTAATTATTAATTATGAATATATTTTACTTAACAAAATTAACAAGATGAAAATTCTTTCTTTTGATTATATTTAAATAGCGCCATCTACAATGAACTATATGAACTATCAGGCTGCTTTAGTACTTTTTAGACATAACTCAGTAATCTGTGCTTAGTACATAAAGCATTGTACAATGAACGGTAGAAATTCAACAGTGATTTAGTAGATGGCGCGGTTATGATGACTGAATGTGTCGGTCGTTTTAAATAGATGTCACTAGTTGATTCAATTTACAGTTAACTCGATTAATTTTCTTCATTACAGACACAGAATTTTACACGGAGAGAAAATATGGAACCACGAATGTAATTTGTGTGAATTTAAAACAAACCAGGCGAGTCACATGCATCGGCACTTGCGTTGTCACGAGGGAGTTAAACCTTATGCTTGCCCACACTGTGATTTTGTATGTAGTAGTTTGGTAAGTATATTATACAATCACAATATTTTTACTAATAAGAATTCAATTATGAATGTCCCATAATTTAAATTTTCATAGAATAAAACAGTAATAAACATCATTTTGCATATATACGCCATCTAGTGACAAAGTGATACCTTATTATGCTGGAATTCCTGCATCCCCAAGGACCAGATTCTGGCTGTGGTATGTGTGTGGTGGATGATTGTCTAAGATCTACTTGCAGCAACTTTGCTTAATCTCAATTTAACTAAAATCTTATTTAGCCCATACAATAATGTCAAATTGACATTGATTTTTTTACATTTTTCTATAGATTAAAGATAGTTTTAATTGAATCGAGATTTAGCTAATTCGCTGCAAGTGGGCTTTAACCTCAAAAGTTGTATAAAATTAAAGGAGACGGTTCAAATTTGAATGAAGAGTGGTAGTGAGTCTCCTACATACTCCAAATTTGTATGATATATCGTGCACTTAATTGTAAATCGTTTGACAAAAAACAAGAAATTATAATATCCCCGTTTTAAAAAAAAAAATTTTTTTTTTGTAAATGGCAAGTTTATTTGTGTATTACTCGTTGCCAAAGCATCAAATATGTTCTATTCAATAGGTAAATAAAGCAGTGATAATTATTTTGTTCATCTCTCATTCTATTATTAGGTATTTAATTTCATGAAAATCAATAATAAATATTTATTACTTGTACATTATGGAAATAAAGAGGCTTGTATTTATACATTTAAGAATAATTAAAACAAAAAATATACTATAACAATGAACCTAAAACTAAAAACCTTAAAAAAATAAAATATAATAACTAAAATACATTATTAAAAGGAGTCCCTTTAGGCAAGGTTCCGAAGATACTGGCAGCGTTCCCCCTTTGGATAGCTAGACTAATTCTTTGTCCAAGGTAGCTGCCAGCTCTTCGGTCTCCTGTGATGTCGACTAATCTTTTCGCTATTTCTTTAAAAAGCCTTATAGCGCTAGGACCCCACGGACCAAGGGTCTCGACACCGAATGGGACAAAATCATATTCGGAGCCTAGACCCCTGTATTTGCCTGCCTTAGCTTTTTCAGCCGCTTCACAAGCCGCACCAGCTCTGTTGTTGGTTCCATGTAGATGGGAAGGGGCCAGCGTGTCTGAACAGGTTGCATCCCATACTAGCACCCGACCCATCGAAATAATAAATTAGTATAACAAATTCACAACGACTTCACGAAAATCATGCATGATTCTTAGATTCAAATAAAAAGTCTTTTTGTTTTAATCTGCATGATTGGACTGATTGACATTTGACCACAGACTACTTATATCAGAGTCTTGTCTTTACTTTTAAGTTTAGATGGTCATGTCAGAATTGGGCCTAGTATTTATTTTTATAGTGCTGAATTTCTTATTCTTCATTTTAGGAAAATCTTCGGAAACACGTACTCAGCAGTGGTAGACATCCTGGGAAATATTTGTACAAATGTCCATCTTGCGAATATGAAACAAATACAGCTACAGATCTACGCGCTCATCTGTGTAACGCTCATGGCAGTAAATACAACAAGAAAGCAGCTATACAAGCAGTTAAAATAATTCTTATGAAACAAAATAGTTAAATGGCTAAATTATTCTTTTCTTTTTTTACATGATCATCAATTACTGTATTAACGTACCTAATCTTAAACCGCCTTATTACTAAGTACTGCTTTAAAACGTCGTAACACCGTAATGATTTCTAGATTAATATTTTAATGTTGTGGAGCTTTTTTCGCTCGTTTTTCTCCGCAGCTAAAAATATGTCCAATAACGAGTGGCAGGGAAAAACAATTATTGGACGATTTAAAATTTGAATAAAGATATATTGACTTTGACTTTGAAACTAATGTTGTCCCTGTCTTATTTTTAGCAAACAATTTTAACAGCTTCTGTTTTAGTCCAGGTTTAACTTTAGTCTACGTTTTGAAATGTGGTGGAAACAGTTTAACTGGAGATACAGAGAGAGTGCTGGGCTACGTTCCAAACCTACGCTCTGAGTACAGTTTTTCACCCTGACGTTTAAATTTTGGCATAAAACATGTCAAATTTGACATTTGTCACACCTGGAGCATAGGTTTAGAACGCAGCCTTGTGCTAGTTTCTTAAAATTACCTACTTGTCAAAGGTATCGTACCTATCAGGTATCAAAAACAAACCAAGAAATTGTCCAGCATTTTTGAGATTGGATTCGGTGATAAAATTATCACCGACAAATAAGGATTTCATACTTAAACTAAAACATTTTTAATAAAATCAATTTTGAACAGTAGAATGGAACATTGAATTCAGTTCATACTTGCGAAAATAGGATAATTTTTCTTGGGTGAAGAATCGCGCAACGCATTTTTTCTTTGGTAGTAAAATATTTTTAGAGCTAGTAACACCACTTTTTCCGGCTGTCATCGAACACCAACCAATGCGAGCGAGGGAAAAATTAATCGACGAGAATAGTCAGTGAAGGAGAGAGGTGTGTTCTGTTCGATAATTATTATTGTAAACGGCGGTGAATTATAGTTCGGGAAGCGTTGATTTAAAAATAATAACAACTTAAAGATACTTACATAGTAGTTGATAAGTCCTTTCAATTTAAAGTTACGTAACATAAGTACGAATTTTAAAAGGACCTAAAACATTATTATTTTGATGATCGTAGTGCAGTGCTAAATTTTTAACTGATCAGGAAATTATGACTGTTTGTTTTCGCGTGTAGTGGATAAATATCAAAGTCAACATGTCACTGAAGGTGAGTTAATTTTATTGTTGTTATAATATCTATTGAAGTGCCAAGCTAATTAATTAAATACACTTAATAGGTCTAAAAACCATGTGAATTATTGGATTATATTTTGATTATGTTAGACCCTTTACAATTTCTATGGATACAAGAATAATTAAAATTAAATACTTGTTAAACAATGTTTACTTTTAAATTATACAGAATAATGTGCATGGAAGTAATGAAACTATTTTGTTTAATAGAAATTATGGATTAACTTTTTGTCTACCTACATAATACCGGTTTTATTTAATATGGTTTTATCAGGATGTAAATATCTGTGAACAAATCATGTAATTTTCTGTAGTCTGTAGTTTAATGCAATGAAAAATCAACCCACACTAATAAAGAAGAAAATTATTGATCTTTAAACAATTATAGTAAAATATTTAAATAATAATAAGTGAGCAATAGGTGTTTCCTTTTAGCCTTGTTTTTATATTAGGAGCTAGAACTTAAACAAGCCCACATGATAATAAATATAAGCGGACACTGTTTGTGAAGATAGATGAAACAGCATAAAAGTGTTTTTGCTCTATCCTCATCTTGTCAACCTGAACCTGATCGCTATGTATATAAAATACATTGTGTGCCTTAATTTGTTAATAAATTAGATATCATAAGATATCTACTAATACATAGGTGTGTTGTGCTAAGTTAATATTAGAATTTCACTGGTATGTTCTTTATATAATCAATTTAATCCAATATTATAGACACTAAAAGTTATACAGAATGGTTGGACTTAAGTACAGTATAATTAGCTAGTGAAAGCTTATTAGCGAATAGATCATAATTTTTTTGTCTGTAGTAATCAATATCTGAAATGGAAAGCAAAGGAAAAACTTGCACATAATTATATTGTGAATTATTCCGTGATCATGGCACTTACTTGCAACAGTGATGAAATATCAGAAACTCGCCAAAAACAAGGTACATGGTAGCAATCCTGTAAATGACATAAATTACTCAATAGAAAAAAATATTTGTTTACTATATTATTATTAAGCATATGGGAATAAAATAAAACTGAACATTTATTCCAAGTCACCCAATGGGGGTTGCCACGGGAGGTAAATGAGAATGAAACCTTTACCATTTCCTGGAAAAAATTATGGAATATTTCCTCAAGCTGGACTCTGCCTGATCTTTTTCTTTTTATCTGTTAGTTACTTTGTATAATATTTTATAGCTTCCTTATATACTTCCTGTTTTTTATATTCTTATATTTACGTCTATTTATTTATTTTAAAAATGCACTAGCCCGCAGTTTCTTCTATTTTACATGGTGTGGTTTCATTTAGCCAAAGGTTGCCTGGTAGAGATTGCTACCTTAGCAATAAGGCCGCCTTTTGTCTTTGTGTTCCTTGAGTTTTATGTTTTATATATTTTGTTAAATAGTGCAATAAAAGAATATTCATTCATTCAATGAAGTAATTGCCATTATTTCAGTTTTTTATTCCCATTTGCATCCGGTGGCAATCCCGGCGAGGGCGACTGGGAATATACGCATTTTTTGCACCACATAAGCCATATTGTGCCAGATAAGTATGTAACATCCATTGATTTGATGATGATTCATGATTTGAGCAAGTGAAAAATATTTTTGCAACATAAGAACGAGCTGGTCATACCTTGCCTATCTCAAATCAGTCAGATATTAACCTTTTAAGTCACCTTATAGGGTAAATTCCTTCAAACAAATTGCTTTCTTCGATTTCATCCTTCCCTCGATTATGGTTTCCTGAACTCCTCTGTCAAGCAGGCATTTTCTGACCGGAGGATGCTAAAGACAGATAACAATATCAGAAAAACTAGTAAAGTACCTTATCACATTTGTCTGCCGCATCGACCATTTTCACAACCGTACAAATATTTCTAATTATATTTAAAAGCTGTAGGGCAAATTGCTGCACCTTGTTTAAAAAAAATATTGGCTGGTTAGTAAGTTTTTCTACATTGATTCCGACCGGGATCGATCTCTAGGACCTCTCAGATAGGGACACCATAGCACCTGGGGGCCGTTCGCCTAACGGAAATGCTTTGGAAAACGCTTTCGATTTCATTTTGTTATTTCTGACCGCCGAAGGTTTTCAAATACCTCACACTCGTTGTTTTTAATATTGTTATTACCAATGCAAAAGAAAACAAAAGAGCGCGAGGCATTTGAAAACCTCAGGCTGCTAGAAATAAAATAATGAAATCGTAAGCGTTAGCGTTTTCCAAAGCATTTCCGTTAGGCGAATGGCCCCCTGGTGTGCTAATCCCTCGGCCTATGATGTCGTCATAACAGGAATCATGATGGTAATAAGTCTCTTGATAGTTTTCCTATGCGCAGAAATATTTACGTTCTCCTCGACTATATTATCGCTCCGAGGGAGGAATTTATCCTGCCATACTTATCTTGGTCATAGTTTGCGTAACCGAAGTCTTGAGACATGCAGGTGAATGATTTTGCAACTACTTACAATATTGCAAAATAAACATCGGCATACATGACTTTGGATTCTTAGGGTTGTTGATGTATTTAAAATGTCACATTCCTTAATAATTCGCCGCATGCGCCAATCTATATATATATCTATATCTATAAAACTCAATGGTGACTGACTGACTGACATAGTGATCTATCAACGCACAGCCCAAACCACTGGACGGATCGGGCTGAAATTTGGCATGCAGGTAGATGTTATGACGTAGGCATTCGCTAAGAAAGGATTTTGATCAATTCTACCCCCAAAGGGATAAAATAAGGAAAGAAAGTTTATATGAAACTTTGTCAATTTTAAACCGATCGGGCTGAGACTTTGCATGCAGGTATAAGAAGAATCATAGATGAATGTCATTGTGTATAATACAAGCCTGAGAACAAAAACTGTAGTCTACACTTCAGCTCTACACCGAAGCGAAGCGAGGGCGGGCCGCTAGTAATAAATAAACATTAAAAATCTTCCCCAATGACAAGAGACGAAAAGTTCACTTAAAAACAGGTCACTAAAGATAAACTTACGGTTATTTTTCATTCACAAACCTCCGCGCAATAATTTCCATTGCAGCCGAATTTTAATTCTTTGTATCGATCTTCTTAAAAAATGAACATCGTCATCATCAAAAACAACAATGGAAGCGCAAACAAAAGAAGCCAAGTAAATTATGCTTAAAACACGAAACAAAGGCTCGACGTGCTAATTTGGTTGACGAAGCGAACTTATAAATAAAACATCTGCGAACCCTATCCCCCGACCCGTCCGCCCAGTTGTTCAGACGGGGTGGCTTCCATATATAGAAGACCAGTCTGCGAACCAGTCTAGCAACCTACCGAGTCACTGAACCGTAAAAACATCTTCGCTGCTTGTAAAATACTGGGTGACATTTACCTTAAAGGGGATAATTAAAAACATCTAGGCAAACGAGATGTGCGAAAAATCTTGAAGAAAGTCAGTAACGTCGAATGTCGTCGAGAAAGCGCACGAGAGAGATTCGATGGGAATGAGTTGGGCGATACAAACATTTGATCGAATGACGAGCGTTTTCCATTCAAGGCCAAAAAATACGTCTTTGAGAGAATCTCAAATACTAATTCCGTTCAATAGAATTTGCGCAATCATTGTAAAAACTAGTTGTTAGAGTGAGTGTTAAAAAAATCAACGTTATCTTCATTCATTTAATGTATATGTAATCCTTTAAAATTTAGATTATTATTAATAATTTAAAGTCATTATGACTAGGCAGAGTAGTTTAATTCATATACATTTAAAATTCAATTAATGACTTATGTGGTTTCCGTCGCGTGTACGTTAATTCAATGTCAACGAGCTAAAAAGATTAAATAAACATTTGCAATATTTAAGTTAGTATTAGCATTGTTAAAAACTAAATTAAAAAAAACAGCATACAGCTGTTGATCGCAGATGACCTTTACAGCGTCACCGGGTTTGGGGACGGCGAGATCCTAAGGGGACCTCAAGCCGAGAATTGGCGAGTGCCTCAAGAGGTATTCTAGGCGGATTTCGTCTCCCCACGGGGGGAGTCTCCTCTCCGTCTGGAGCCTCTAGACCACTCGAATCTGAGGGGGTCGGCTCAACTAGAAGGCGTCTCTGAGACTCAGACCTCGGCTCTAGTTAGCCGTTGTCGTGGGAATAAAAACATTGTGTCTTTTCATAATAGAAGCACAAATATTTTGTACAAATTAACGAAATGTTCACGGAAAACAACGCGCAGCACCTTTACACTGTGTTTTGGGTCGTCTATAAATACCAGAACCGCTGTATCGTCCTACGCACGCGCGTCTGTCTGGATTTAGGTCTAGACTTTGCTATTTGTGAGATGAAATCTCGCAAATAGGTAGCAAGAGTATAAATTGATTTGGTTCTACGTTCAGTTTTAATAACATTTTCATCGTTAAGTTCTCCCGTTTCATTAGTTTTATACTGTCAACCATAATCGTATTTTTCATTTATTAAATTGTTTAATACATTGCGATTTTATTAGAAATCACTGTGTAATGACTTTCTTTATTAGCCATTGATCGGTGCCGATTGTCAAATTGAAAGCGATCGTGTTAATGGCGTGTTCCTTATCGAGGCCCGTGATACATTATTGAATACTGTCTGTCAAGCTATAAATTTCTTAGGCCTAATTTTATTAATTGGAACGTGCAATGAATGCTTATAGTCTATCGTAACGTTTTAGCTCTAATGATTAATACGTTATAGTGCGACATTGAATACGTTCGAGAGTGGAATGCCTAATTTGTATTGGCTACTATTCTACACTTCTTTAAGCTACAACTCAAAAGGACAATGGAGCCGATTCTGGCGTGATTCTTGAAACTTAAAATTGAGAACAGTGTGTTCTTGTTATTCTTTATACAGAATGAACAGGAGCGGTATCATCATCATCAGCCTATTAATGTCCCCACTGCTGGGGCACAGGCCTTCCCTATGGATGGAATAGGGAGATTGGGCCATAACCCATCACGCGGGCGCAGTGCGGATTGGTGGGTGCTAACGACTGCAGATGCAGCCGGGACCAACGGCTTAACGTGCCTTCCGAAGCACGGAGGAGCTCGAGATAGTAAATTTTTGGTCACCCATCCAATGACCGACCACTGTGAAAGTTGCTTAACTTCAACGATCGCAGCCGAACGCGCTAACCACTTGCGCCGTCGAGCTCCTCCTCGAAGAGCGGTATACTGATGTTAAATTTAATTTGAAGTTTAGAGAATCATGACAGAATTTTAGTAGTAGAATTTGTGAAACAAAATTAATAATTATTTTGATCTACCTATATTGATGGAAATGGGTTTGCTTGTGTTTTGTGCATCTTAATTTAATGCTGTGGCCGCGTATACCCTTAATTAGGCATTTTATGTGGACTGAACAAAACTGAAACATCCATTTCTGTAATTCATTTGCCACATGAAGAGCAATCTTTCTATGTGTGTCATTGGACCTGATGTCAAAAATGTCGTATTGATTCAAAAACAGCTAGACAAAAGGTCTCATTTAGGAATTAAAGCAAATAGTTGAAACTGCTATGGAAATGCGAATTGGTTCCTATTTGACGTGGCTGGAGAGGCAGATCATGTTAACTTATTTGGTGTCTGATGAAGAAAACATTTGACTTTTAGTATTTCTTTATATTATTCTATTATTCCAAGTTGCTATTATTCCAAGAAAAAAGTTTCTAAAGAAAAAGTTTTACTAAAGATTTTTTTTTTCTAGTAAAACTTCTTTAGATTTAAACATCTAGCAGTTAAATGCTTAAAAAAATAAAAACATAAAAAAGTTTCTGTATGCTTTTTCGTCACGAACGACTTGAGGACCATGAGGACTTTACGGTCTAGCGTTTGGGCACTTCACATTTCATTCATTTTCTATAACGATCGTTCCTATTTTTAGACTTATCTCGCTTGACTAGTTTGCCATTTAATACATTGTTTGTAAA